GAAAACTGTGAATACTTGATGAGGCAACTCCCACTACCCTCAGCAAGCATTACGAACTTCAGTAGTAGCTGAAACCCAAATGTACAGAGTTAATTAGCAAAGTGTGAACTGATGGTAATTTAAAATGAATTCAAAATAAATTGCATTATTTTGGGGGGTCAAAATAGCCAAACTCTAGCCTAAGTATAAACTCACTTTTAAGCTTTTTGATGTCAATGAAATGGACTCCACGGAACTGGGTAATTATAATAATGGTAGGTGAAGACTAGTGAATGGAACTTAAATACTTTTTGATGTATTCAAACATAGCAAGAATAGACATTATGCATGCAGAGGATAGCTTGTGCTCCTTATTGTAAAGTTGTAATCACTTTAAAAAAAAAAAAATTCGCAAAAAATTATTTGTATGCTCTGAACAACGCACACATACTGACGGATTCAGACCACGAATGAAGACCACACTAACAAAGGAAATTATGTTCTATGTGGATCATGCATGATATACTGAGTCAAGGATGTAAAAACCCAAAAAATATTACGGAAGGAGAAAATCTAAGAAAGATTTCTTCTATCAATCCATTACAGTGGGCAATTATTTTTTTTTATTGAGGGTCTTTGGCATTTTTTCAATCTATAATGTAATAATACATTTATTTTTATCACTTCTTTTCTTTCCACCAATGTTTGCTGTGTTTCATGGAGGCTTTCTTTTTATCTAACACAGTATATACTATCTTCCTAGAGTATTGAATGTGACTAGAAATATCTAACACACACAGCAGGTATACTATGATTAGAACTTAAAGTGACTCTGACTCTGACTCGAGTGTAAAGTGAGAGCATAATAAATCCAAAACAATATTTTGAGAGGGGTAACCCTGGGAGATTACGACTGTCTCAAATTCCTATGAACTCCCAGCCTTTTGATGGCTTACCAGCAATGGGTGCATGTATCGATCTTTTTCAAATTAAACACTATATCATTACAGCCTCGTACCCTAGAGCCCATGATTTTATTTCAGCCATTTAGGTTGTGCTTAAGCAAGCATATGATGAAGTTACAACTCTTTGGGATCTACACACTAAACCTCTAGTTATTCAGGTTCAGGAGCTAATAATTTTCAGGTTATGGAACAGCTGTTAGTGGGCATTTTCCCCAAAGTGAACTCAACCACATCTCCTTAAACCTGACAATCTAATGTTCACCAAGAAAGGTTTTTGATGGTCATTACTGGCTGACAATAGCACATTTAAAGTGCTGTATGTTTTTAAAAATCCTTTATTTTTTTTAAGCATATGTTTAATACATTATCCTTATAATGCACTGAAACGATGCTGGGAAGTTTCCATCACACTGCTCAGGCAATTATTACTGGCATTTTTAAACATCAACATATTCTGCAGCGCTGTACAATTAAAGGAAAAAAACAGTACAATATACACAGGCCAATACAAAAGGTAAAGAGGGCCCTGTCCGTGAGCTGAGATCTAGCCATTGATGCCTTTTTTATGCAAAGTGCCTGGTTAAATAGCCCATGAGCTTACACTCTAATTAGGTAGAAACATAGAAACATAGAATGTGACGGCAGATAAGAACCATTCGGCCCATCTAGTCTGCCCAATTTTCTAAATACTTTCATTAGTCCCTGGCCTTATCTTATAGTTAGGATAGCCTTATGCCTATCCCACGCATGCTTAACCCCTTAAGGACCAAACTTCTGGAATAAAAGGGAATCAAGATATGTCACACATGTCATGTGTCCTTAAGGGGTTAAACTCCTTCACTGTGTTAACCTCTACCACTTCAGCTGGAAGGCTATTCCATGCATCCACTACTCTCTCAGTAAAGTAATACTTCCTGATATTATTTTTAAACCTTTGTCCCTCTAATTTAAGACTATGACATCTTGTTGTGGTAGTTTTTCTTCTTTTAAATATAGTCTCATCTTTTACTGTGTTGATTCCCTTTATGCATCTAAATGTTTCTATTATACCCCCCCTTGTCTCGTCGTATACCCCATGTTGCACATTTACCCTAGCCAGAACATGTTCTATTAAAACACCTTAAGTTATCTTATGTCAGTGCATGGTTTTTGAGCTGCTCTAGTGTCTTAGACCCAGCAATTTTCTGAGCCTTGCTCCAGCCTTTCTCAGGCCCACTATTCTAACTGTGTGCCAATGTTTTCTCCTGTCATACCTGAACCTCTTCCCTAATATGTTGTATTATAAGTTCTTTGGCTACCTTACCTTTGGCTTGATTGCCTGGTCCTGACCGCTGACCTGCTTCTCACTATCGTTCGGCTACCACCTTGTAGATTTCATAGTTGATGCATTAAACTTACCAGATCCCCACTCCTGTTTCTTGCTCTGGTACTCTGCGCTGTTTATTCTATTTTGCATTATCCCATGTGCTATCTCAAACATTTATGGAGTATCCAGATCTACCCAGTGGCTGGTTTATGCAACGGTGGTCTAGAAATTGGCAATCCAGATGTTGTGGATCACATCTCCCTTGATGCTTTGCCAGGATTGTGGGAGCATCATGGGAGATGTAGTCCACAACATCTCAAGTACCGAAGGTTGTCTACTGCAGCTCTAAGTAATATTACCACTATTGTGAGCTTTATTGGTCAGGTTGCCTAGAGTCCATGCTTTATTACCAAACCATGTAAGAATGATTTGGGCTGGTGCTAAGGAGTCTTGACAACCTAATCACTACAGTGAGACACTATTGTCCATAACACAGCAATGTCTCGACATTACATAGTTACATAGGCTGAAAAGAAATGTGTCCATTAAGTTCAGCCTTCAAATATTGGTTATAATGAACTATTACATTTACTTATTGTGGGAGATTTATTTTTATTTATTTATTATTGCCATTTATTTTGCGCCAACAGATTCCGTAGCGCTTTACAATATTATGAGAGGGGGGATTTAACTATAAATAGAACAATTACAAGAAAAATTACAGAAATGATAGGTTGAAGAGGACCCTGCTCAAATGAGCTTATAGTCTATAGAGATGAATAATATATATATATTAGAAAACATTTGTAACAATGCAGTGTGTTATATTCAGGCATAAGCCCCAATTATATATTTTTGGATACATTTTCCAATTATTTTATAGTTTGGATAAATTCCTTAACCAAAATATCAAAAATCTATAAATATATAACAAAGTATCTGAATATTTTTAACAATATTAAATCATTTCAAAAACGTATCCACACATTTTCTACAAAAATGTGTATTTTAAATAAAATAATACAGTTATGTAGAAATTCAGCAGCAGGTTCTAGATAAATATTATTTGCTTTGTTCCACTCTTTTACAAAGGCACTAAGGTGCTTAATAAATAATGATGAGGTTAGACTAAGTGTGCTCAAATAAATAGGAATATCGATTAAAGTATGAACTGAAAATTATTGCAAAGCCACTGATGTATAGTATAAAATATTGCTCCCTGCACAATACTTGCCAGTCAAGAAATAAAAAAAGAGAAACTTAAAAAAAGAGAAAAACTAGGCAGGATTATCATTAGGTAATTATATAAAGCTGTTTATTGAAAAATATGCATCTCAAAAGGCTAAGGTTCCTAAAATGTTAATCTTGACAGTTCCGCTTTATTTTATTAAACAAAACATATGACAATGTATCTTAAATCAGAAATTATTATTAGTTGTAGTTCTGCATTTTTTAAAAACCAAAACCAAAACAAGGCTGTTTTTATTAGAGGTGCTCCTAAGCATAGCTCATCTTGCAAAACAGTAAATGGTAATATCACTTTAAATGAGCTTGAAGGATACTGTTTTATATCTCAAAACTGCAACTTAGAAAAAAAAAAAAAAAAGCTCTATTTCTTCCTCACCTGTGTCATATCTTCTAAAACAGTTATGCAATTGGAAAGAGGGGAAATTGTTAGACAAACTGAATCCATCTTTCTGATGATCACTGCAAATCTCTTCAGGGGCACCCAAGTTAATCTGTGTGAGACTGCCACATCCATTCTAAAAAAGTCTATTTTGTTGTTTTAAGCTACTATACACATAACTATTGACAAAGCCCTGTGTGTGCTTATATTGGAATAGGAGATGGGGAAGCAATTGCAGACGTCTTTAAAGGGACACTCCACTGCTGAAATAGAAATCTTAAATAAAAATCACTGTTTAATAGATATACCAATTATAAAATACATGCATTTAAAGATACGCTCCGGGCACCAATACTACAATACTTTAGTGCATCTGATAGGGTTTGGCCTCTTTAATATGCTGTGTTTTTTGCATGCTCAAATTGTTTTAGCCACGCCCAGTCATGCCAAAAAGAGACTTCCTTATCAAATGTATGGACACAGCTCAACCACTGACAGTACTAAGTGATCGGAACTACAAAGTAACCTGCTTTAGAAGGATCCAGTAAGAATATCACTATCCGTTTATAGTTTATATGACGTTCTGCAGCCAGTTTTTATATAGTAGGACAAGGCAGGAGACTTAATATTTTCTATACTTTCTTTACTGTAAGCCCTAATAGCAGTAAAAGAACAGTAAAGGAAATCAACCATTCAGAAAACAGAAGAGAGGCAATAAAGGGCAGAACCTCTCTGACACCTTCCTCTTTCTTTGCTACTGATCCTCCAACAACGTCAGAGTATTTGTCTCCCAACCATCTGGGGTATTATTGTCCTATTTGTGTTGAGGGGCATCTTGGATCGGGGCATTTCGTCTGCATTGCTCTTGTTGTTTAATTGCCATCTTAATGTGTATTATTTTTCAGTTTGTTTTTCATTTCCCCTAGGCCTTTTCCCTGGGTTTCCCTCTGCATCCTGCATATTCTGGCTTTTTTTGCTGTGTTGGTATCCATGCGGGTCTACAGCGGCCATCTTGGTGCTTCTTGTGTCACGCAGTTGCAGTTTATACTGGCCATCTTGCTACACCTTTCTGCCTATGCAGAGTGCGATCATGTTCCCGTTGGTAAGATTTTGGGCAGCCATTTTATGTTGCTCGCTTGTCTGCCAGTTTTAATGGCACCCTGCAGTGTTTCCTGCTGTGTTTTCTCCTTACACCCTCTGTGTGTGTTAGGTGCCCCGTCGGTGCCCCTGTTGCAGGTGAGCCCGCTGATATTATTGCCTTGCTCCTTTTTGTGGCTTTCAAATAGTTGATTTCCTGCTGCTGCGCATAATCCTTTACAGGGTGTTCCCACAGGTAGAAGTCCTCGGGTCTGTCAATGGATTCGGGGTATTAATCTTTCACTCGATGTCCCGTTAGTGCTGCATTTTTTAACACCTGTTCGTTCGACTTCCCTTTTGTCTTTGCTACAATGTTTGGTCCAGCTTATCTTGCTCTTCTATTTCCTTTTCTTTTATCAGGTGTCTGACGTGAGTGCTTTTGATGTTGATGCATTTTCCTTTTCTCGAGTGTCACCTTTTCCTTGTTCAGACGGACCAAGATGGGCTCCTCTTGGTATTTTATTGTTTTTCTCCGATAAGCCTCAGCTTTGTGTGGTGGCTTGCCTCAATCTATATTTGGAGGCTACTTCCATCGTACTTCTTTGAGTCAACTTCTAATCTCTTACGTTCGCCTGCACACTAGTGTCTCCTTCACAACCTTAGAGTGCTGGTTGCATTGGTTGCTATAATCTGCGGGTGTTTCTTCTTCTTTTGGAGAGCATTTAGTTTGTGGTACTGCGGCCTCCATGGCTTGTAGACCAGGTCCTGACATAATTAGGGCATTATGAGGGAAGCAGATTGGTCGCATGAAGATACTTTTCTCACTTTTAATTCTTGACATGGAGATTATTCGCTTAAAAATAAATGTTTTGCAGAATTCTGACCATAAGCCTGCCTCCTTAGCCATGCCACTCATGTCAGAAAGACTTCCTTATCAAAGGGTATGCACAAAATCTTAGCCCCAAGAGCACCAAGTGAGCTGTTTTTAATTGTAGATTATTAGAGCCTTGGTGTTTAAATTAGCTGAATTTTATTAAAGACAGGAGGTGAATATTTCAAAATACTCTCTTTACTGCAATCTCAAATAGCAGCAAAATAACAATAAAGAAAATCAACCAATCAGAAAACAGAAGAAAATAAATAAAGGGCAGGACCTCTCTGATACCTTCCTCTTTCCTTGAAGATGGAAATGACAAAATAAGAACAAACAGAGTTCAAATAACAACTTTAAACCTCACAGAAACTGGGAGGACAAAACCAATCGGGTCTCAGCAATGAATCCTCTTCACACTATAAGAAAAATAGAAAAAAATTGATAGAAAAAAGTGGAAAATCTCAAATGTCAAAACACGACTAAAACAACAGTAATGTAAAACACTATCAAAATATATAGGCATCTAAATAGAAAAATAACATTAATCAATGGAATAATAATACTTGAATCAAAATAAACCCAAACCCTCTGAATAACAGAAAAATACAAAGAGCAAATACCATAGAGTACAAAAACTCAGGATGAGGGGGGAAAGATGGATGGGGGAGAAAGGGAAGGAAAAATACTCATATTATTTAAATACTGATGCTTTGATAATTACATGATTTTCCTATTACATGACATAAAGTCATGATTTTATTAAAGACACAGAGGCGAGTATTGAATATCCCTTTCTTTACTGTCCACCAACAGCAGAAAAGAATACAAAACAGAATGAAAAAATAATGTTTACATAGTAACATGGGCCACTACCAGCCAAGTCCCAGTATAATAGCAGGCACCACCCTAATATATTCCTCTTTCTTGAAGATGCGACACACGATAACAGAAAGTCCGCAAAACAGGAAAACAGCAGACATAATCCATCAGCAAACAAAACATAGAAGTCCAGAACCGAGAACACAGGACCACTTAAATGAAAACAGGAAACCAATCCGGAACATCCACGAAACAGCTCCAGCAAGATAATGCTCCTCTAAGGTAGATGAACGAGACATCAAACAGGTCTGGATCATGCTGTGAAAACATAAAAAAACAGGAGCCCAAAGGTTAAATCGGTACTATAGACCAATATCAAGGCAATAATAACCATAAATGAACACATACCAAAATGAACAACAGCCCATCCCAAAACTCTAAACAGGTACAATCAAAACTAAACGTCATAAATACAATGCCCCACTTAATATACCAACGAATCCAGACACCTATAACGAAATAACATGGGTGGGAAAACAGAAAAACAAAAGCAGAGAAATTGCTTCATATCGGGTGGGACAATACTTGCCTCCATGTCTTTAATAAAATCATGACTTTACGTCATGTAAAAGGAAAATCACGTAATTTTATTACAAGAAATGGAGGCTCATATTGCAAGTTTAAAGCTGTTGAACCACTGCAGAAAAAGACATGAGTAATAGGCTGAAAGTAAAATTCACGAAACGTTGAGTCCCGCGACCAATTGGCCATCCTTATAAGGTCCTCCAAAAGTGTGCCCCATGCCATAATAGATGATGCAGAGGCTCCCCTAACAGAATGCGCTCCAAAAACAGAAATGCCGATACCAGCCTGGTCCAGAATCCACTTCATCCATCGGGACAACGTAGCGCTCGCAACTGGAGCAAAAGGAGGACAAAAAGACAAGAAAAGTTGGGGCACAGATGCGGAACGATGTACGATCCTCATATTCGCATAAACACACTACCAGGCATAAAGTCGATGTCGAAGGGAGAGCTGGATATTATACCAACTTAATAGAAGCCTTAGTACATCTGGAAATATTAAAAGTCACACCCTCTGGAGTATATGATCTAGCACAGGGGTAGGCAACCTTTTAGCAGCACTTTGCCAAAATATGATTGTGATGTCCCGTAGCGTGTCGGTCCTATTTCTTTAAATTGAGGTGTTCATGTTGCCATATTCTGCTTGTGTTATTTATACTGCAGTTGCTTTGTATTGTTGTATTTGTGCGTATATGAGATATTATATTGTATATGTTCATTAATAGTTTGTGGTATCATGTATAATACCTATGAATTTGGCCTGTGTATGGGGGCTGCTTGTGGCATTGTGTGTGGATGGATATGTCACATGTCACATTGTGTATTTGGTAGTGTGTGTATGTGTGGGGCTGTTTGGGGTATTGTATGTGAGAGGCTGCATGTGGGGTTGTGTGTATGTATGTGGATTGTTGGTGGTGTTGTGTTTGTGCGGACTGTGTTTGTGTGCGAGCTGTTTGCATTATTTGTATGAGGGTAGGGTTATTCTGCTGCTCTGTGTATATCTAGCAGTGTGGGAGGCTTCCCTGGGTTTTAGTGGGGACCAGGTTGGCCAGGTACAGCTCAAGGACAGAAGCTGCAATAGGAAGCTGTGGGCTGCTCTACTCCAGTGTGAATTCCCATTCTCAGATCACTTCCTCTATGTGCTGCAATGCATAAATGGAGGATTGTTCTTCACCACCTTTTCGTATTAGCAGATATCTGAAGTTTCACTGGGACTCCTGACAGGCCAGAGCCTGTTTGGCTCTTGTAGCCTTGAGTGCCGTGCAAAGGCACCTTGAGTGCCATGCATGGCACTAGTGCCATAGGTTGCCTACCCCTGATCTAGCATCAAAATCTAAAGCACGGACATCCGACACCCTTTTGCAAGAGATGAGGCAAAAGAGATAACCAATTTATCCGACAAGTGACGTAATGAGATATCCTGGTTAGAAGGCCAGGCAGAGAGAAAAGACAGAACAACAGACACATCCCAAGTAGATGAATAACGGAGCCTAGGCGGACTAAAAAGACGGGAGCTGCATAGAAGTCGACACCAAAGGATGTTGACCTGCGGGGCAACCATCAAAACCACAGTGGGTTGAGGATATGGCGGACCTGTATAGATTGATCATACTGTAAGCCCTGCCAGCGTCAAAAAGAGAAGCCAGGAATTCCAAAGTCGCTGTCACAGGGGCCAAAACCAGATCCATGTCCCTAGCCAGGCACCAGCCAGCCCAAGCTCGCCAAGCTGACCCATATGATCATCTAGTTACCAGGAGCCCATGCGTCCGCCAACAATCATTGAGTAGTTTCTGACTCCCTGGACCTCCCAGGGTCCCCTGAAATCCGCCATGCCATGAGAAGAACGATCCTTCCCCCAACAGAGGGTGACAATCTCCCGCCAGATCGCGAAGCAGGCCTGGGAAGGATGGCAAGAGCCTGGGACAGTCCACCGACATCTCCAAAAGTTGATGGAACCATGACTACATCCCCCAAAACAGAGCCACAAGCACCAGTTCGGCTTGTTGGCGGCGAACCTGGATGAGCGTGTGGGGAATCATGGAGAACAGGGTAAATGCATACCGGAGATCCCCATGCCAGTCCTGCAGGAAAGCGTCCACGGTCTTGTCTCCAGCTGAAAAACCATGGGAGATGGGCGTTGAGCTGTGAGGTGAAGAGGTTGATAACAAAAGAACCCCAGAAAGACGACACAGTTGAGAACACCTCCGCGTCCAAATTCTAGTTGCTGTTGTCCGAGAGATACAGTGAATTCCAATTGGCCTGGACATTGTGTAGGCCCGGTAGATACTCTGCATGGACCACCAAGTTCCGAGCCATACAGAACTCCCAAAATTCCTTCACCAATCTGGCCAGGACTGCCGACTGGTTGCCGCCCATGTGGTTGACATATCTCACCATCAAGATGTTGTCCATGTGGAGGCGAATGCACGCATGTGCCTGGCCACTCTCAAAGCTCCGAATCATGAAGGAGCCCACCAGAAATTCCAACGCATTGATGTAGATTCGGGATTCGGAGTCCGACCAACGCCCCCCCGTCGACACACCTCTGCGGTGGGCACCCCAGCAGTAGAGACTCACGTTCGAGTCTATGGTGTACTCTAGTTGTGAGCCAAAGATCGCCCTACTGTTCCATTCAGACTGATTTAGGATCCACCACTGGAGCTCATCCCTTGTTTCGCCATCCAGGGTCACCTGATCCGCCCTCTCGCTATTGAGCTATCTTTAATCGCTGGAGTGCCCTGTAATGGAGAGGAGCCAGGAACACCGACTGGATAGATGAGGCCAGCAGTCCAATGATCTGTGCCAAATGACGCAGGGTGATCCGGGGAAGGAGAAGTGCCATGCGTAGTCCCTTGCGGATCATCTGAATCTTGATGGATGGAAGGCTCAACGATTCCTCTTCAGAATCCATGAGGAAACCTAGAAATTCCATGCATCTGGATGGGGTCAGGCAGGACTTTTCCCAGTTGACGATGAAACCCAGTCGGACAAGCAGGTCCACAGTCCATCTTAGATGGTGCATAAGGATGGAGCCATGATTAGTATGTCGACCAGGTAGACGATCAGGTGTACTCTCTGACTGCAAAGCCATGCCATCACTGGGCGCAGAACCTTTGTGAAGCACCAGGGCGCCGAGGATAGACCAAGAGGAAGGCATGTAAAGCGCCAAACTCTGTCCTTCCAACGGAAGCAAAGCAGATCTCGAGAGGGGTCAGCTACCAGAACTGTCAGGTACGCGTTCTTCAAATTTAGTTTCGCCAGCCAGTCCCCACATAGGAGTAGGTCCCTCAGAAGATGGATGCCCTCCATCTTGAAATGGCGGTAGTGAACCATAGCATTCAGCAGGGGAAGGTTGATGACAGGGCACATATGTCCACCTTTCTTTTCAACCAGGAAAATATTGCTTATGACCCCTTCGGAGCCCAGAGGGGCTAGTTCGATTGCCTTTGTGTCACGGAGGGCAGACAATTC